CTCTGGTTAGTGAAAGGCATGCCCAGGTTGCCAGACAGTCGCGTTTCTCAAGGCAGCCAGATATCTAGATTTTTATGAAATCTCTCAACTTTTAAATATTAGAAAATAATTCAGAAACTTTCAAACAGTTCATCTGGGCCAAAATCACATCTACAGGCAGGATGAGTATGTGAGCTGTAAATTTGTGATCTTTGGTGGCCCTCATCTTTCCTCAAAAATATAGATGCCAAAAATGCATAATCTGAACCTAATCAATAAGGAAATATCAGACAAATAAGAACACAGGGACATTGTACAAAACAAATAGCCTGTACTCATCACAAATGTCAATGGCTTACTCATCATAAATGTCATAATGATGCTATAAAAGATATTATTAGGACAATTAGCAAAATTTAAATATGGACTTTGGATTAAATAAGAGTATTTTATCAATGTTAACTTTTCTGAAATTGACAAGTGAGCATGTTTATATGTAAGAGAGTGTCCTTATTCTTAGGAAATACATGCTGAAGTATTTATGGGTAAAAAGGATTGATGTCTCCAACTTACTCTGTAATGGTTCATAAAAAAAATAAAATAATGGTTCATGTGTATATGAGAGCAATAGAGTGAATGTGACAAGATGTTAACTTGTGAAGCTGGATGATAGGTCTATGAGAGCTCTTTGTTCTACTCTTACAGCTCGTCTATAAATTTTAAGTCATTTCAAAAAATAAATTATGTCATCTGGAAAAAAAAAAAAAAAAAGCATGGGGGGCAGCCCTGTGCCAGCAGAGGGCCCTTAAAGCAACCAAACCAATCACGGCCATACCTATTCTGTCCTCGGTACAAACCCAATCACTGTGGATTCTCACAGCAACCCATAAAAGCAGCTATTCTTTTTTTTTTTTTTTTTGTGAGGAACATCGGCCCTGAGCTAACATCTGCCAATCCTCCTCTTTTTTTGCTGAGGAAGACTGGCCCTGGTCTAATACATCCATGGCCATCTTCCTCCACTTTATATGGGATGCCGCCACAGCATGGCTTGACAAGTGGTGCGTCCCTGCGCGCCCAGGATCCAAACTGGTGAACCCCGGGGCCGCCACAGCGGAGCGTGCGCGCTTAACCACTTGTGCCACTGGGCCGGCCCCTTGAAACAGCTATTCTTGACTCTATTTTCTAGCTGGAGAAACTGAGGCACAGGGTGCCAACCCTTTATCCCAACAGCAAGGAAATTTTAGAGGCCATGGTTCTAACTCAGCCTATCAAATACTAATATGGACCATTCACCATAAGCCTTACAAGAAAAATTCATTTTAAAAATGCATGAATACACTTTGTGTTTTCTTATGCTGTCACACATTAACTAAATGTCATCATGGAAAGCTAGGTAATAGTTAGTCCAACCCTTTTATTCACCCTCCAGAATTGGAAACTGTATAAAAGTCTATAGCATAAGCAATAACAAGAAGAAAATATAATCTAAGTAATTTCAAAGAGAAAAGGAAAGCCAAAAGCAATTACTCATTATGGGAATGATAAAGCTTACTTTAAAAAGCAAAGGAGAAATCTCTGTGACCTCGGGATAGGTAAAGATTTCATAGATGCAATATAAAAAGCATGAATCATAAAAAGAAATATTGAGGGCCGGCCCCGTGGCTTAGTGGTTAAGTGCGCGCGCTCCGCTGCTGGCGGCCCAGGTTCGGATCCCGGTCGCGCACCGACGCACCGCTTCTCCGGCCATGCTGGGGCAGCGTCCCACATACAGCAACTAGAAGGATGCGCAGCTATGACATACAACTACCTACTGGGGCTTTGGGGGGAAAAATAAATAAATAAAATTACAAAAAAAATAAAAAGAAATATCGATAAATTGGACCTTTATCAAAATTAAATACTTTTGCTCTTCAAAAGACCATTAAGTAAAGTAAAGAATGGGAGACAATGTTCACAATACGTATCGCTGACAATGGACTTATATCTAGAAAATATAAAGAACTCATAACATTTAATGTTAAGAAGACATATAACCCAACAAAAAAAAATGGGCAAAAGATTTGAGCAGACACTTCACAAAAGAAGATACATACATGGTCAATAAACACATGAGAAGCAGCTCAGGATCATGAGACATCAGGGAAATGAAAATCAAAACCACAACGAGATGCCACTTCACACCCACTAAGATGGCTATAATCAAAAAGACAGGCAATAACAAGAGATGACAAGGATGTGAAGAAACCGGAACCCTCAAACTATGCTGGTGGGAGTGTAAAATGGTGCATTCACACTGGAAAACAATGTCTTAGTCTTCTTGGGCTGCTATAACAAAATATCATAGACTGGGTGGCTTACAAACAGCAGAAATTCATTGCTCACAGTTCTGGAGGCTGGAAGTCCAAGATCTGGGTGCCAGCATGGTTGGGTTCCAGTGAGGGCCCTCTTCCGGGTTGCGGGCCCTCTTCCGTGTTGCAGACCCCCAGTTTCTTGTTGTATTCTCACACGGCAGGGGGGTGAGGGAGCTCTCTCAGGCCTCTTTTTTAAGGGCACTAACCCCGTTCCTAATCACCGAATCACCTCCAAAAAGGCCCTACTCCTGATACCATTACCTTGGGGGTTAGGATTTCAACATAAGAATTTTGGGGGCACACAAACATTCAGAACATAACAAACAGAGCAGTTTCTTAAAATGTTAAACACAGATTTACCATAAGATCCAGCAAGTCCACTCCTAGGTATCTACCCAAGAGAAATGAAAACATATGTCCATATGGAATGTGAATGTTCATAGCAGCATTTTTCATAATAGCCAAGAAGTGGAAACAACGCAAATATCCACCAACTAGTGAATGGATTAAACAAAATGTGGTATATTCAGACACTGGAATACTATATTATTCAGTAATAAAAAGGAACAAAGTACTGATACACACTACAACATGGATGAACCTCAAAAATATTATGCTAGGTGAAAGAAGCAAAAGCCCACGTATTGCCTGATTCCATTTATATGAAATCTCCAGAAAAGGCAAATCTTGAGAACAAAGAACAGATTACAGTCCTGCATTGCTTAATGACACGGAAACATTCTGAGAAATGCATCATTAGGTGATTTCGCCATTGCGCAAACATCATCGAGTGTACATCGACAGAAAACATATCAGTGGTTGCTTGGGAGCCAAGCTGGGAGAAGAGACTGACTGCAAATCAGCAAAAGGAAATTTCTGGAAGGGACTGAAATGTCCTCTATGTCAACTATGGTGGTGGTTTCGCAGGTGTATATATCTGTCAAAACTCATCAAATTGTACACTATAAGTGGGTGCAAACTGTGGTATGTAAATTATACCTCAATAAAGTTGACTGCATAAATAAAATAAAGTACAGGGATTCTACTTAGCCAAAACCATAATCCCAGTATCTGGTAAATAACAAGTGCTAAATAAATCTTTACAGAATAAATTAATAACTTTAAATGTAAACCCAAAAGGTGAGAAAGACATCACTCACAATGCCATCGCATGACATTTGCTTCTTTGCACTGTTGTAGACCTATGCAGAAGGATCTTTTCCCTTTGTACCCATCTTCAGCATGCTGCCCATATCACATACAGACTCAAGCATGGAAGCTTCAGGTCCCTGGTGAAACCTTGCTAAACTCAGGTTATATAGAGCAGATTTTACATTTTACATCCATAGAGGTATGGCTCTAAAACAAACTCACTGACAAGACTCTAACTTCTGCAAGAGCAAGAATTGTGTCTGTTTTATTTACCACTGGTCCTCACTTCCAACATCTGCCTAATATAGAGCAGGCAACAAATAGCACGTGTAAAGGCCCTGTAACCAGATTAACACACAGGAAAGTGGGACTTTTAAGAAGGCTAAAGTGGTTGATGGGCAGAGAGCAGGGAGAATGTCACGTCCAATGAGACTGTGGAAGCAAGCAGGGTCCAGACCATACAGGACATTGTATGCCATGTGAAGTTTTGTCTTTATCCTAAGAGCAACAGAAAGCCATGGAAGATTTTTAACCAGGTGGTTGGCAGAGAAGGGAAGAAGGAAAGGGGCAGGATTAGATCTGCATTTTGAAAAGATCACAGCCACCGTGTGGAGAAGAGACTGGTTGTGTGGAAGGAGGGCGAGAAGGGGACAAAGGAGTGTTAGGGTGTAGAGTGACTACAGACCAATGAGGAGACAATCGTAACAGCTCATTAAAGAGATAATGGTAGCTTGGTCCAAGGTGGTGGAGATGGAAAAAAGCAGACAAATTACCAACAAATTTAGACAAATCAATAGGACTTGATTTTGGGAATGAGGGAATGGAAAACACTCAGTTCTTCTGAGCCTCAAATCTTCATCTGTAAAACAGGACTGTTAATACTCCATCTGTATAATACCTATCTTGTAATCTGCTGTGATAAGAATATGAAATAACACAAATATTATGAACTTAATGCAGAGCCTGACACGTGACAAACGCTAAAAAAATGAATCGCTATTGCTATTATTATTGTCATCCCATGGAATGGCAACTACCAGAAGCTGAACCCCAAAAGCAGAAAATAAGACTGTAGTGAAAGATTCATATCCGCTGTGCTGAAGACATAGAACGTATCAGCCGGCCACTGAGACAACCGTTTCAAACAAACACATCTGACCGCACACATATTTCATCTAAACCAACCTCAGTCCCCAGAAATTAATATGATCACAGTCATCTGAGAGCACGGTAAACTAAGGCAGAAGGGTAGCTACAAATTAGCCAAGGAATCAGGTGCAGAAGTAGGACAAGGAAATGAGTGTCTTGATTCTCATTTGCGATCCAACAGGACTAGGCCTGCATCCTGAGCAGCACCAATTCATACACCTCAATGTCTCTGGCTCCCTTGCTGACAAGGCCCTGTCATCCCTTGGCTTAAGACCGTGCGTCCGCTCACCATCCAACCAATCCCTTCCGGTTCCCTGCCCCTAGTTACAAGTGCACGGAAGATCCCAGACGCCGGAGGGCCCAACATACCTTAGCTTCGCGCTCTCGTTCCTCGGCGGTCGGAGTCCGCTTCATGCTGCCGCTTCAGCCGCCTTCGCCACTGCTAGCCGCGTAGATCCCTTGCTCTGGACCCCGCCCCCTGCATGTAGTTCTCTCGGCGTCCTGCTCCCGCCCGGCGCCATTCTCCCTCAGAGCCATGAGAACTACCACTCCCAGGGTGCACGGCGGCGACGCCCGAGGAGCGCCTGGGGGTTTAGCAGCACGAGAATTTCCCAGGTCCGCCAGCTGGGCGAGCGTAGTCCGCTACGCAGCAAGCTAGAGGGCTAGGGTCCGAGGAGAACTACATTTCCCAGGAGGCAGCGGGGCCTGCCACGTGTTTCCCGTGCTCCTCTCGGCCAGCTGCCCGACACGCCGTCGGCGCTATAGCAACGGTAGCTAGCGGCGGGGAGAGAGTGATGGTGAGTACTCTGGGGGAGGAGAGAGGGTTGGAGGTGCCCCACCCTCCACCTGCGGCGAGAGCGGGGGTGCTGGGGTCGGCGCTACGGCGTGGAAAGGGCCCTAGAGTTCTGCTCGCGGGAAAAGCAGCCCAGCGCGAGACGCCTCCACATCCTCAGGCCTGAATCACAGCCCGCCCATTATCCCCACGCCCAGGACCGGTTTGAAATTTTATATCCTAGCCCTAAGCCCTCGCTGTTGAGAGTTGATGCTAGTTGCCATCCCTATCCAAGTCCTTCTTCAAGTAGAAGGTCACTTGAACGCCGTTTTTGCCCTGGGTTAGGAGTTGGTTGGTAGACCCTAAGCCGCCTCCTGTGTACAGGCCTATTGTTTGCTTAATTATAATTATTGTCTGATTACTTCATAACCTATTAATTCCATAGAAGTGGAGACTTTGTTTACTATTTTAGTCTCAATGCCAGGTATTCATTTATTTTTTCATTAAATATTAATGTTGGTGCCCACCGTGTGCTAGGCACTGTTCCCGACCAGTTGTGAACAGGACATAACAGTCTCAAGATGCTTATACTTTATTAGTGAAGGCAAACTAGTAATGAACCAGTAAACAAATAAGATAATTTCAGTTAGAGATGATTGCTGTAAAAGAAATAAGCAGTGATGAAATTGGGAGGAAGAATACTCTAACATAGGATGATCAGGGAAGGCCTCTTTGAGGAAGTGACATTTGAGAACGAGCCCTGAAGAATGAGGAGCCAACTAATGCAAAGGCGTTGAGCAAGACAAGGGTACCCTGGATTTGGGAACCTAAAGGAGAGGGGTGTGAGTGGAGCATAGTGAACAGGGAGGCCTGAGTTGGTGGTGGAGAGGCATTGTGGCATTGTGCAGGATTTCAGCCTCCACACTATTAACATTTTGGGGCAGATAATTCTTTGTTGTGGTTCCAGTGCACTGTAGGAGGTTTAGCATTATCTCTGGCCTCTAGATGCCAGTAACACCCCACCTCCTTCCCAGTTGTGACAATCAAAAATAGGACGACTACCTCTTAGATTTATGACCTTGGGCAAGTTACCTAAGCTGTGTCTCAGTTTCTTCATTTGTAACGTAGGCATCATTTGAATAACAACCTCACAGGGATATTGTGAGATATTTGATTAATTCATATAAGCAGAGCACTTAGAAGAGTGCCTGGCACATTTTAGTATGCATTCAAGAACTAACACCTTTATCATCATTATTGTTATTATTATAAAAGCTACCATCACTCTATCATGGAAAGGTATCATTTTCACAAGTGTTCACTGTTTGAACTTCTTGAAAATTTAGTTCCTAAAGTTGACCTTGTCTGTCGTAGTGTTTCCAAAAGAAGTAGATGATCTCCCAGGCATATGTCTGTTAGCTGTTTATGTCACAGCAAAATGCGATGGTTCTCAACCTTTGATGAGTTATAGTAAAAGTTATAAACCCTCTTCCTAAAAGATATTGCATATACACATATGCGTACAAGATTTTGTGGACCATCTCTGGGTCCACAGACCCTGATTCAGCCCCATGGACTCCAGTCATTCAGTCAACCGCTGTTTAGTGAATGCCTGCCATGTGCGGAGCTCTGTGGCAGCCTGTGAGAATATAGAGGTAGACAAGACAAAATCTTGCTATTCTGTTGGAGTTTACATTCTAGGACCAACATTCTAGAGTTTGAGAACCTCTGCCTTAGGGCATCTTCATTGGTAGCTTGCATTTGGCTTTCTGGGTAGATTGAAATGAAAATGTAAAATCCTTTTTTTTTTTTCCTGCATACTAGACGTTGCATGGACTGCTCACATCCACATAGAAAACTAAGTTACTGTAGTGCATCTCTGTGAAGAAGAGAAACTGTAAAAATGCCAAAATTAGCTGGACAACCAGTGTGTTAAGGTAGGAAGCTCTGGGACCTAGGCCTAATGGCAACAAAGACAGGACAGAACAAAAACAAACCCAGTTGGTAAATTTATGAATCCTCTTTTACGAAACTTGGAACTTCCCACTCATTTGTGCATCGAGCTGAAAATTAATATTCAAGTAATATTGACATCCCAGGCCAATGTGCTAAATGCTTTTAATTTAGCATCTCACCAACCCTTAGAATAACTCTGTGAGATAGTTATTATTTCTCCATTTTTAAAATTAAGGAACTGAAGCTCAGCAAGATTGGGTGACTTGACCAGCTAGTAAGTAATAGAACAATCATTTGAATCAAGTTCCTAACCTGAGTTTTTTCCAAGATACCTACATTCTTTCGAGTGCAGAGAAGGGGATGGGGTATGGAGAAGAGGTATTTCTTAAATTTGGGGGAGTTTATTTTGTTTCAGATAGAGGAATAAGAAGAAAAGAGAAGGAAGAATGATAATCTTACCTCATTTCTTAAGCAAACTATAGGAAACATACTGTTGAAAGCAACACTGTCTCCGTGATTGAATGTAGTATTTCTTTTAAAATAGAAGCTTTCGTCTTCTTCAAGCAGCACATGTGGGCAATAAGATGCCCATTAAAGTTCTAGTGCCTTATTCATTTTATTGGGTTCATTCCATTGCATAGTTATAATGTTATAACTTGCAAAGATTTTATTTGAATATTCTTTTCTCCGCGGATAGGCCATGTCTGGTCCAACTGATGAGACTGCAGGAGACCTGCCTGTGAAAGATACAGGTCTAAACCTCTGCGGAATGGTAGGGTTACAAGGTATGGCCAGCTGTTATTTATTATAGTTATGAACTTTGATCAGTAACTTCTTTTCTTTTAATTTAAAGTATTTCTGATGGTCATACAAACGAAGCCATTTAAGTAACTATATAGCTCTTGATTGGGACTAAACAAGAAGATGGAGCGTTTAGAACAACATATGGTATTTTACTGCACGCATCAATTATCAACAGCTCATAGAAAATGTAAAATCTCCCTCTGTTCTGATAAAGAATTGTTATAAATCATCTTTTTAAACTCTACACATCAGTAGAAACTACACAGAAAGTATCAAGCCTCCAAACCAAATTGCCTGGTTTAAATCACATTCACCATTAAAATGTTTCTTTGTGCTTAAATTTTATATGGGAGGAAATGCCATATTTAAAATTTTTGCCTTTCAAGTAGAGTATCTCAAAATGGTTTGTTTATCCAAGTGATATTCACTTTGTTTTATCAAATTAATATACATTAAAGGTTTTCTTTATCCCTTTATCACTTAGTGGTTACAGTAGAGCTAAAAAGCACTTTCAAATTAAGAAAGAAAAGCACTGCTTGAAGGAACAGTTTAGAGTTAGAGCTATGTTTTTTTTTGCATGTACAATGTGTCAGCCATGCTGTTATGCCACTGCATTTGTCCTCAAGAAGGCTGTGATGTAAAGTATATTCCACTGAGGCGTTTTCGTACACCTGTTAACCAGAACAGTGCAAGTGGCCCCCTTGAACTACCACAGAAAGTTGCCCAGTGTTTTGTTCATTGAAAAAGATAAATTTGACTATACAGCTTTTATTGTTAAAAGTAAAAAGTATGTGTATAAGCTTTGCTTTAGATCTTTGGCGGCATATCAGGGATTTAAATACAAAAAATTTTAAGTGTGCAAAGCTATTTATTGGGATTCGATACCCTAAGTTCAATTCTTGCCCTTAGTAACCCACCATAAGGCTTTAATCTTTGTCCATTTGTTCTTTGTTTCTTTTGGAGGATTGTTGAAAATTGACCTACTTCACAGTGATATGGAAAATACCAAATTTAAGCATATGTTAAAAAATATCATATACACATGCTAAACGGTGTAAAAGTGCTTTGAAAATATGTAAGATAGCTTATAAATGATGTGCGAAGAGTTTTTTTTTGTTTGGTCTTGCAAATTTTATGGTTTATTTTCTGTAACTCAACACCCATAGCTCAGAAAAATATCTTTATATTATGTTCACTAAATTTTTGTTATAACTCTTGCCTTTGTAAGAAAGAAAATACTTTCAAATACTTTGACTTTTAATTTAGTTTTTTCAACATTCAGTATATAAATTGAAAAGTATTGAATCAGAGTTCCATCTTACATTCTTAAAGAGTGATTATTTGAATACAGTTTTGAATGGATACCATTTGTTGCTCAAATCCTTAATATTGAGTATAAAGTATTAATAGCAAAGATTTTTATTCTCATCTCCAATCAGTGATGTGAACGATGCTATAACATTTTCTAAAGCAATCTTAATTGTAGATCTCAAAGGAAAAAGCTGAGATAAGTGCATTAGAGATTATATCAATATCAACAGTGATCATTTTTAGAGACTATGTTAAGTAATCCCACTATTAATTACTTTGGAATTTTTGCAGAAACTTCAACAACACGGACGATGAAGTCTCGCCAGGCTGTGTCACGTATCAGTCGTGAGGAACTGGAAGACAGATTTTTGCGTTTGCATGATGAGAACATTTTACTTAAACAGCATGCCCACAAGCAAGAGGATAAAATTAAAAGGTTATGATAAAAAGCTTTTAGCTTTTTTTCCTGACTCTCTAAAGTTTGGAGGATATGCTTTTTTATAAACTTAATTGAAAACCTCACCGTGAATCTTTTTTAGAACAAGGCAGGTTGTAAATAAATATAATTTTTAAAAATGGAAGATCTTACAAACTAGAATAATAAACGAAAAAGATTATGAGTGTTTATTATGTCTGAAGTTACTATTTGAAATAAAGAGCTAATAGCTAAGAGTGCCATGAATGTATCATATCTATAAATAACTTTTGGTTTAATATTTATAGTTTAATAAGCAAATCACCAAAGCATCTGTTTTTTAAATGTCTTGATTTTAAAATGAAAGTTTCAAAAAGTAA